TGCTCCATCTCGCAGCGCAGCTGGGCCAGCTGCTCCTCCACGCTGCCGATCAGGTCCTGGATCTGGGCCAGCTGCATGCAGTAGCGGCCTTTGGTCTCCTCCAGGCTGCTCTCCAGGGATGCTTTCTGTGAGTGGGGGAAAGGGAAAGAGTCAACAGAGGTGATCATTGCTCCCCCCCACCCCAGGCCTCTGGGCATGTTCCTGAGAGGTACATGGATTTTGGTGCCAGCTGGGCTACTGATGGGCCAGACAATGTGGAGAAAATCACTCCGTTGTTCTGGGCCTTAATTTCTGTGTCTATATAATGGGTACAATGACCCCTCCATCCCACTCCTGGGAAAAGAGGGGCAGAACTGTATTGTGGCAACATTGAGGGGCCGGCGGCATCACTGGTGACTTGGGGACTGCGGCGAGCCGGGGTCCTTCATACCATGCTGAGCTGGGACTGCAGTTCAATCTCCAGGCCCTGGAGCACCCTCCGGAGCTCGGTCACCTCCGTGCGGCCACTCTGCACCAGTTCGCTGTTTGACGCCACTTCCTTGTTCAGCTCTTCGGTCTGAGACAGGAAAAGAGGAGCAGGTGTGAGGCACCCTAGAGGTGGCCCCTGTCTGGGAAGTCCTGCAGGAGAGCTGAGCGCCTGAGCCCCACCTTGCTCAGGAACCAGGCCTCCGCGTCTCTGCGGTTCTTCTCCGCCATCTGCTCGTACTGGTCGCGCATCTCGTTCAGGATGCGGCTCAGGTCCACACCGGGGGCGGCATCCATCTCCACACTGACGTCCCCGCCAGTCTGACCCCGCAGGGCAAGCATCTCCTAGGAAGGGATGGCGGGAGATGACCAGCTCAGCTGAGCCCTTTCCTGGCCCCTGAACCGGCCTCCCGCTGCCAACACCAGCAGCGACCTCACCTCCTCGTGGTTCTTCTTCAGGAAGGCCAGCTCCTCCTTCAGCCCTTCGATCTGCATCTCCAGGTCAGTCCTGGCCAGGGTCAGCTCGTCCAACACCCTGCGCAGGCCGTTGATGTCGGCCTCCACGCTCTGGCGCAGGGCCAGCTCGTGCTCATACCTGGCAGGACAGAGGTCGAGGCATCAGGCTCCATCTGCGAGGCCTCTGAGGTTCAAAACCAACAGCCCCACCGCTTGCCCACCACCCCCCACAACCCCCGCCCTCTGCACCACACTCCGCCCACCACAGCAGTGGCTCACTTGGTCCTAAAGTCATCGGCTGCCAGCCTGGCATTGTCAATCTGCAGAATGGGCTGAGCGTTCTCGATGGTGGCCGCGATGATCTACAGAGAAGGTAAAAGGGCAGGCCTCGTTAGTCAAGACCCCAAAGCCCGGGGGTGAAGAGCAGAGAGGGGAGGATACGGTGTCCCCAAACTTGAGGGTCGCCTGGCTGGCGAGTCAGGCCCTACACTCTTCCATCCAGCCAGCCTGAGTGTCTTTTGCAGCCGGCTCAGGGTGTGCGGAGGGAGGCCCCCCTGGCTCCTACCACCCCATCCTCGGCCCCAGGCTGAGAGAAGCTGAGGGAGCAACGCAAAAATCACTTGCAGGGAATAAGAGAGTCAGGGCTCCAGCCAAGCTCGGACAGCTGGATGCTGAAAAGGGACCCTCTGCCAGCAATGCGGAGTGGCCTCCGTCTACTCCCCCAAGGTGGCCTCACTCTCCCAGTTTGTGAAACAAAGATGCTAGAAAGTGATTTCTAAGGGCCACTGAAGCCATGGCCTGTCGCAACCACCAGGGTCGCCCGCCTGGCCCACACACCTTGTTCCTCAGGTCCTCGATGGTCTTGAAG